AAAGGAACAAATATACCACACAACTTATTTTCAAGTAAATAGTCGATTAGAAACTCATCAAACTTTGGTGTCCAATGTAGGTCGTACAGATAGTCGACCTGCACTACACCAAAATCAGGAGCCATCGACTTTAGTAACAATAGCAGATATTTGTTGTTTACTTCTTTATTTACGTTTGTGGAATTATTTGTTGTGAAGTGTGTGGTTTAAATAGGGATGTATCAACGTTCGGTATGCTTAATGACGCACATGGCAAACCAAGTGATGTCTATTCAATTCAGACGTGCAGTGAATTCTAATCAACTCAGCTTTGCAACAAAAGACTGATACCTGCTTGTAGGCCTGCAACGATTGGTCATATCATGCCATAGAGTCGTGAAACACTTTAGTCCAATCAACCTCAGCTAAAAAGAAAAGCTAAACCTGAAAAAGCATAAGCCTACCTATAGACTTGTAGTGAGTTGTCACTTTACGGCATATTAGGTAATGGGCAATTCAGCCCGTTTCACCAACAATGCAAGCATTTAATTTAAATCGAAAGTTGATATTGCAATACAGGTATGCATACAAATGTCATTAATTCAAAAGTACAAAGTAGTTATACAAAAGATCAGTCAAAACACAAAACAAAAATGTACAAAGTGGACTTGAATTAAAGAACATCATCAGAAATGGTTTTACTTAGCCGGGATTATTTCCCTTGTAAGCGTGTCGTTTAAATAGAGAGGTATCATGTTTTGTTATAAGTAATGCTTCACATGGCAAAAGCTAGAAATCATGGATGGCAAGTAAGTAATTTCTAATCAGCTCAGGCATGCAGGATTGGTCATATCATGTCTCTTACTTTGTGAATCTTTTGACCAACTAAAGTGGCAGACGCATGTACTTACACATGCTCGTGAAGTCCTTTTACTGCAAACAACTCAGCTTTAAAGAAAAGCTTAAGCCTAACTGTAGACCTGGCGTGATTTGTCATAGCACGTCGTGTCAAATATAAAACTTTTGACCATGAAGTAAACAACCCCTCAGTGGCCAATTTCATCCCTTTTGACCAATCATATAATCATTTTAAATTGAAAAGACGAATGCATAGTAAGCCATCATTAATACAATACAACGGTACAAAGTAGGTTTGCAAAATATCAGTTATTAGAACATCATCATACTTTACTCTACCAAACCTTACTTAAAAAACAAAAGACTAATAACAAAGAAAACCATGAACCAAAATGTAGATTTCATAAATTTGACTTTCTTTTCCAAACTCTCAACTTTACGGACAGCATCATCAAGGCTCACCTGCAGTTCTACAATTTTTGTTGCTTCAATCTCCAAATTAAGGCCCATCACTTTATTCTCATTTTCCAACGCTTTTTTCTCGGAAGATTTTAAGTCCAGCCGCTCTGATAGTAATTTCTCCATCACATTTTTGCACAATATTTGCTCATGCAACCGGTCCTTTTCTGCCTTAAGCTTGTTAAAACAAGCCTTTTGGAACGGCGGCAACTCAGGATCAATCCATACAAACAGGTTACAAGCCTTTTCAGCATCATTGAACTATGAAAATCAAAATAATTCAGAGGCCAAACTTCATGTTAGATACATGGTTAGAAAATAAAACACTACATAACCAACACAACCGGATGCAACCAACAAAGGTGGTTTAACCACCTAAAAAAAAACTACTCATTTTCAAACTGAAATAACCCTGAACAAATGCATATCCAACATCAAGGCAAATAGAATTTTGAAGCCCCCCCCCCCAATACAGATGAACAAGAACACAATGACCGATAAATCAAGGTTAAAATTGCATCCCACATAAAAAAACAAACAAGAATCAATCAAAATACCACCACGGTAAAATGCAGTTTCCAAATTTGTAATGCACACATTAATGAAACAAATAGCCATTGGCATGCTTGTTATAATTATACAAACAACCTTAAAGGGCAGTGAGATAAAAAATTTACCTTCCGGCGAGGACATCTGCAGAACCTTCGAGCTGGGTTGTCGCTCGTCATTGATGTGAACACATCGGCTGCGTCGCCACAATCACATAGCCTAACCTCAAATGGACTACTAGAGGATCGACTATATCGATTGTTTGAACTCGTGTGAGAAGTATTTGACATCTTGCTTGGCTGAAAATGTGAAGATTAATAACGTACAAGTCATTTCAATCAGGATAAGAAGAATAACATAAAGCAAGGTGTGACATAAACAAAGCACATAGCAATAATGCAGCAATTTACACTCTACAGCCAGCACATACCAATACTACAAAAATTTCACTTTCTAATATTATCTTACTAAAAACCAACTACAGCCAACACATACCAATACTACATATTATGTTACTTTACACTAACATAAACAAGGGAATAACAATACTACAGCAATTTCACTTTCTAACAAATTAGGAAAACCAACTACAACAATTTATACTAACATAACAATAGTGAACATTAAGCACATAAACAACACATAAAAGGGCACTTAATTGATTCAAAATAGCTAGCTCTAACTCTAAGAATGCTTATAAACTGATTCTTAGCTGAAACTTAACCCCTCAAAAATGATAATTTCAGCACAAATATAATATAACAGAAACTTCAAAATGGTGACATAAACAAGCAAGGTAACAATCACCACATAAACAACAACATGCTTCTCTTTCTTTTTCTCTTCAATCTTGGTTAAACTTAAACATGAAATGAACTCTTCGAAACTGAAAGCGTAAGCCAAATATCAGCCTGAAATCAATCACATTTTCAGCACAGAAGTAACACAAGGTTCAACTCTACACAAGGCAACACAAGGATAAAAGCAATTTGCAACATGCTTTCTCTTTCTCAAAATTTAAAACAATGCAATTAAATTTTTCAAAACTGAAATTCAGGTAACATAACCTATCATTCATATAACCACTGTCTAAATCTGATAATTGAAAAGCATAACACTACAAAAAAGAAGTAAAGAATGAGAACACAGGGCAGAACATAGGGTTCGAAAATTGCAGCCATTTCATTACTAATTTGGCCAGCCATTTTCAGTACAAATTGCAATGCTTCAAAAGTTTAGAGGGCTCGAAAATGCAGTCGATACGTACGCTTAAGGGCAGAACACAGGGTTATAAAATGCAACTTGTTTTTTAATTTGGGGATTTGAAAATTCCTATTATCGGCCAAACCTAGGGTTTCGAAAAGCTATGAAAATTGAACTACTCCAACTCAGAGATTGAAAAAAATAGGAAATTCCGACTTAACAATCTCAAATTTATCACAGATAAATAAATAACTCGAGGAAATGAGAGGAAATTCAAACCCGTCAATCTTCACGAATCGCAGAAAACAAAATATTCCGATGTCCAAAACGGAGAGAATAGACAATTTCTTACCTTTCTTCGCGAATCCGGTATGTTCTTCGCACGGTCTTCACTCCGTCGTTCTTCAACAATCGCGCACGAACCTTTGAAGATGGAGAAGGATGAAAAAAGCTTCTGAAGAATGCAAAATTTGATATCGATTTTGATAAATAGAAATGAGGGCAAATTTGTCATTGGATTGTGTAACCTGCCAAATAGTCCATCGAAGTAAATATGGGATTCAATTATGCAAATCCCATTCCACAATGTAAACAAGGGACTAAATGCTGACATGTAAAGTTAAGTTGGATAGCTTATATTGTCCCATCCCCCAAAGTAAATGACCCCTAACAAAATAATTGGGACTGAGATTACTATTTATAGTGCTCATCTTCAATAACACCAAATGCATATTTAAAAGGGCCAAATTGCAATTTTAGTCTCAAAAGTTTAACATTTTTTTTATTTGGTCGTATGATTTTAAAATTTAACGCAATTTCAGTTATTTGGGACTGAAAATATAACAAAATTTAAAATTACAGGACTTAAATTACTGATGAAAAATCTTTTGGATGGATATTTGAATAGAAATTTAAGTCCTGTAATTTTAAATTTTGGGACTGAGATTGCAGTAAAAAACTGAATTACAAGATCAAAAAACAAAAATTTAAAATTTTGAACCTAAAAATGCTACTGCGAAAAACCAGTTGGACTAAAAATACAATTTTGCCAATATTTATTAACACAAGGAAACAAAAAAAAAAAATGGTCCTGCAGTTGAATTTCCCACGATTTAATTAGAAAAAAAAAGGGGTCTACGTGGCAACATCTTGTCCTCATCTTAGTGATGGCATGCAACTCGCAGCCCACCTAACTCGCATATCTTATTGTATATAAGTTGTAACTCATTGTAACCGTTATTTCATAGTCTTTGAACCATCAATTGTATTCGAAAAATTAAAAGTTTCAAGTCTAGTATATAAATTTAGTGGGCTACTCCTTCTATTGTCAATTGATTTTAAATTAAAACTCCATTTGGGCTTGTATGATAGACTTGATAGAGAACTGGATTTTGAGTTGTTGCTCCTAACATAACCGGATTCTCGATCTTCATCCCATCGAAGTCGTAACTTCATCATCTTTGAACCATCAATCACTACGATTGCCTCCAACTAGTGCTTTGAGATGCGTTAATTTATCTATTCTACTTAAAAATGGCCTCTAACCAGTGTTGAGAGATGTGTGTGTTAGTTCTTTGAGATGTGTTGATTTATTATATGTTTTACTTGAGAATGGCCTCCACCTAGTGTTGAGATGTGTTGGCTTATCTGTTTTACTATTTTGGCTGCTTCATTAGAAGGAAAAAGACAGAGAAATGCAACATAATAAATCCAAAAATCATCCCAAAACTAAATTAAAATCACACAGAAGTTGAGCATTTTGACCAATTCAAGTACAACCCAGACTAATGAAATCCAAAATCATCCCAAACATCTTAGAGAGAATCCAAGCAGAAAAGAAGAACAAGAAAAGAGAAAGTCTAGTCACCAAAGCAAAGCAGTTAAAAAAGATAGTAATGAGACAGCACAGCACATATGCATTTCTTTTCCCAAAACACATGTCGATCAGTCGGTCACTGGCTAGGAGACCTCGCCCTCCTCTGTCCCCTTGAATACTCGGCCGGAGGATAAGGGCTCCTGCTGCGGCTCGGGCTGCGGGCCCTATCTGGAGAGCGGTTCCGGGCTGGGCTTTGGCTGCGGCTTCTTGACCCAGCAGGCGAACGTTCCCTCACTGGGCTTGCACTGTAGTCCCTTGGGCCGTTATACGGAGGAGACTGTTCACGTGCTGGGGATCGTGAGTATGATCTTTCTCTACTGTATCTAGGCCTACGAGGAGAGACAGACCTGCATATTTTTGTTGTGTTGAGTGGCACACATAAAATATGAGATGACAAAAAAGTAAAAAAATAAAATAAAATGGGAAAGCAGCAAAAAACAGTAGCACACTGCCTGGAGGTTGGAGAAATCCCCCTTGTTCCCAATTAAATCGACTAAAAGCACATTCTGCATATATTGTTTTACTAAAAAAGCAAAAATTAAGGTGTAAAAGTGCAACTTTAAAAACTGGGGTGCCAGGTAACTTGAAAAAACTCACAAAGTAGGGACGGCAATATGTTGAAAATAAACTTCATATGATAAATTGCATAAATAAATAAAGTTTTGAGGATGTCAAGTTCAAATTGGAAAAATTAACCATCTTTAGGGTGTAACCTGATTACAAAAAGCTTAACTTATTTTGCTAAACTAGGCATAGGGCCTTAAGCTTTTAAATCACAATATATTTAATTAGTAAAATGAAAATAAAAGGTCAAGCATAGATCTGTAACTCTGAAAATTTGTTTTTGAGATATGATCAGGCAGCCAATTTCCGTATAATTTATGGTTAAAGCATTCCATTTACATAGATGTGAGAAGTAAATCACCAAAGACAATGGCATACCTCGAGTATCCTCTCCTACGAGGGGAGTAGTGATCACGGCTATGAGAAGGAGACCTCCCATAGCGTGGTGGGGAACGGGAATAACGAGGGGGGGACCTCCTCCGATCATATGCACGACCTCTGCAATAATGAATCAACCAAAAAAACAAACAAAATAAAACAAACACTAAACTTCCACTGCACAAACAGAAAAGTCCAATTACGTCTCAGCCACTTGATTATCTTTGACCACAAAACATGATCATAGACGAAAGCACTACCTTCCTCCTCGTTCCCTGGCTCTCATCTCAGTTGGCTTCTTTCTGTTCTCCTCAGCAAAAACAACAGTGATCTCCCGACCTTGGAACAACTGACCATCCATCTGATATTTAGCTTCGGCAGCATCAGCTGGGTCGACATACTGGATAAACCCGAAACCCCGTGGTTCACTACAAAAAGAAAAAAAATTTGAAATTTAAATTAATAAAATTAAAGAACAGCTACAGACATGAAAAGGTTTCCAGGTTACAGAAGTTTGCCTGAGGATAAAAAAACAGTTCAGACTTCAGTGAGGATGGTCTTTAGCATGTAAATGCCAGAATGCAGATAATAATCATCGCACAACTTTAAGAAAATAAAATAGCCCTCCTAAAAACTATTTACACCGAGGCAATTAATGTCTCAGTGAATATAGTCCTCAAAAAAAAGTTCAAGACAGTGACAGAGCCAGCTACTTCACTGGAAGGAATTCAGTCAATCTGTCTATGCAAAATCTTGAGGTTCTAAAATCCCAAAGGCTTCTTATCAAATTAATAGCTCATACCAATTCAAAGAAATGGAAGGCCGTGATAACCACATAAGCAAGCACTAGGCAGCTGACCTTGTAAGTGATAATTAAGATGCTTGAAAATCTTCAAGACTTGAAAATCTTGATATCTTCACATTGTATTCAAACCAGATTCTCTGCCAATCTTCATATACATTTACATCACCTCCATTCTTTACTACTTGATTGACGTCAACAGAACTCTTACAACTAGAATGTGCCAACAGAAATCTTTAACACTTGACTGAGGTCTTCATAAACCTTACTTTCGCTGCTAAATTTCAAAAATCTTAATTTTGAACCCAATTATAGATGATACAAGAACGTTAAATGAAACGGAAAAATAGATGATGAAATAATGAAAATGGTTACCCAGCAGCATCAACTGACAGCTAAACAATACATTTACGTGTTAAAAATAGAGGCCTAAGACAAGTGCACAAATCTACACATGCTCACCGAGTGTGGTAATCCCTTGGAAGATAGATGTCCTTAACATCGCCAAATTGGCCAAAAGGCTTCTTCAAGTCCTCTGCCCTATTTACAGCAAACAAACCATTTAAAGAAAATTTATTTTTTCTTGCCGTAGGAATTTGGATGGAGACAATAAAAAAAAAAAAAATAACAAATGAAATTCAATCACCGTAATCTTTTACAATTACTTTTCCTATATTTTCCTTCACTGTACTTGTTCTCACACTGGTCCGGTGATTCATTAAAGATTACAAGTTAAGCATCAGGCATACACAAGCCCATTTAAATTGAACAAGCAGGGTGCGCAAAAACATCAGAACAAAAAACAAAAGCATGCAAAAATCGATGATCTGACCAACTTCAAAAGGCATTTGGCAAATTTTCAGGGGATTTGATGTTTCACCAATATATTTATTAATTAATCCACTTGCAAAGGAAGATATGTCATGAACAAAATAAGCTTAAGAACGACAAAAAAGTACGAAGTTAGAAGAACTTTACCTACAGTCCCTGCGTAGATTGCGAACTAAAAGGCTAGTAGGTGCATCTCCTCTGCCGCCATGACGGCCTCTAGGGACTGGGCTTCTACCTCTTCTACTATAGCTCCTTGGTGGTGGTGAAGGGGTGTAGCTCCTTCCCCTCATTTGCACAAATGATATAGATTGTAGCTGTATGTTGTATAACAAGGAATGAAAAAGAGAAAATAAAATCAACTAAGTTGTGGGCGCGTGGGGTTGAAAGGAAGACAACACAAATGTAGTTTCATATAGATGAATAACGACAACAACTACAAAACTTTACAGGGAGAGACCATTACCACTGATGTAACTAGAAAAATATCAGAATTTAATGGAGTATTATGACAACATAAACAGTATATACACAGATTAATGTAAAAAACATAAACAACATATACAATGATTATGTGGCCGCTGCAGCTAGCACATGAGCTCCAATTACAGTAGAAACTAAAACATTATAATGGGTTTGTGGGTACCAAATAGAATGATCAGCTAGAGCTAATACATGATAAATAGCCATCATATCAGCTATCAAATAAAATACTAATCGTCATTTCATTCCATTGTTCCCACAAGAGTCGGCCTGAACACTTTGCCAAAAGAACTACTGTTTTTACCCAAATTTCAACTCAGAGACAAAAGATGCCTTAGAAAAACAAGCAAAAACATCAACCATTTATATCAAATAAGAAAGGCAGGATAACAACAAGAAAATCAATGAAGAAACATCAAACATCACTCCTTGTGTTCTTATCATGAAACACAAGAAAAAACCCAATAATCAATAAGGAATCGTGAATGGTAACCATGAAAACCCCAGCAAAAAGTACACAGCTAATAGTCCAAGTAGAATATCAAGAGCGATAGAAAACAAAGATCCAACATGATAAGTAATGAATAAGTAATCGTGAATGGTTACCCAAGAAAACCGCAGCAAGATCCAAGATGATACGTAATCAATAAGGAAAACCAAGAAAACCGCAGCCAAGTAGAATATCAAGAGCGACAGAATAAAGATCCAAGATGATACGAAAATAGTTAACCGATAAAAAAAAAACAAAACCCTAACTGAATCATATGCTACCTGAACACCACAAGAAATTAGGAATTCTTGCGAGAGACGGCGGATGAAGTAGAGAGAGCCAAAGCGAAGTTAGGGCAGAAGGTACTTATATAGATGAGCCCAAAAAAATTTCTTATAGGTTTCTTTCCTTTTCTACGACTCAGATATAATGTTTGAATGAAAACCGGGTTGTGATTCGAATTATTAGTGAACCGCCCGTTATCCACATAACAAATTTTTAATAAAAAAATATTTATTATGATACTTGTGTAGATCAAATATAAATACTTTTAGACAAATAATATTTGTTATAGATTAGAAAATATATATATTTGATTTCTAAAAAAAAAACCCTAATGACTAACTTCGCTCGTTCCGGACTCACGGCGATCCATGCCAGACCGGAAACTTTCGACCCCGGCGATACCTCTCGGACACTGACCCTTGACACGGAATTCCCCGCGATGAATCGTTTCACCCAGACCCAATCCTTTAGCAAACGCCACAAATCCCTCAAACGGATTGGGGAACCTCTCGACCGCATAGGCTCGCCCTTGCAGCATCATGCTTCTGGCACCAATCTGGTCCTGCCACCTCCCATGTTCAATCCTATTGACTCGCCTACTCGAAATCGGGAGTCGGAATTAGGGTCGGACCCGCCGCCCCGCAAGTGGACGTTTAAGGACATGGTCAACAAACACAAAAAACATGTGGAGATGGAGCCTGAGGACAATGGGGAGGATATGGAGGGGGATGAGGACATGCTAATCGACCTCTCTAACTCTACGCCTGAACTGAAAATTGCTAAGAGGTTTTTTTATGAGATAAACAAGGAGTGGCAGAATGTTGTTGTAGTCAAACCATTCGATGAATCGTTTACTATGGCATCACTTTACAACCGTCTCACGAGGATGTGGTCGTTCATGGCGTGCTGTAATATGATGGATTTGGAGAACGGTTTCTATCTGATACACTTTAGCAATTATGCTGACACATCTCAGGCTCTTACTGGCGGGCCGTACGTAGTAGGTAGCAGCTACATGCACGTTCAACCATGGACCCTTGACTTTCATGCGACCGAGGAGAACTTAACGGCAACAGTCGCTTGCATTCGGTTACCTGGTATGCCCGCTCATCTATATCATAAGAAGGTGTTCCGAAAGATAGGCCAGATCGTGGGCAAGGTTGTTAAAATTGATCAGCAAAACTGCAGCACTAACTTGTGGTAAATACTCTCGGCTCGTCGTCATGGTGGACCTTACGAAACCGCTATGTGTAGAATTTACTATCAACGGCAAACCCTAAAGGGTAGTCTACGAAAGCTTGCCCACTATCTGCTACCAATGTGGGCAAATTGGGCACTCGGGAAGCTCTTGATTATATACACCACAGGCCCATGAGAAAACAGTTCCTAAGGGGACCTAATCTGATGTAAGCACACAGATAGCACATGGATGCGACAATGGTGATGGGGGGTGGTAAATGCACCTAGTGGTGTTGATTCTCAACGATATGGTCCTTGGATACAAGTTCCACAACGCCAACGGCAGCAATATTCTAGGCGTGATCGGGGGATGGATAAAGCAGACGGTCCCAAAGCAACGACTGCCTCTACGGGCCGGGGCTCCCGCTTTGATCTGTTGGAATAGAAGGAGGCATGGGATCCAAACCAAACGTTCGAATTTGGTGCACCTTCAGCGGCAGCAAAGGAAACGCAGAACTCGATACCTTCTCGACGTGTTGGAGATACGGAAAATAGGGGCTGGCGCGTGGTGACGGGTCATGGAAAGAGGCAAAGTAAGGCTATCTCGGGGCCAACAAAGTTGGGCTCGACGAGCGTTGTTGTTCCTGTTGGTGTTATATACTTAAGCTTTGCTTTAGTGGATATTACACTTGTTATT